ATACATCTCATTGTAAAGTTTTCTACATTGCCATATGGGATTTCGAGCATTTTGATGTCTTACAATCTCTTCGAGTCTTTGTATCCATAAATCTGTTCTGACTGTAATATTATGTTTCCTCTTTTTCACGAGGGGTTTGGGGGTCCCCCCTTCCTGGGCAGGTGCTTAGGAGGGCAGCAGCCAGCCCCCAAAACGCTTAGGCGCCCGCCTGCACTCTTTTTAACATTATCTTCCACATATGGACTCTACATTAATCAAATCTACTGCAGAACAAGCAATGCCTCCTTCAATCTGATATATTAACTTTAGTTTCAAAACATCTTAGGCATCCAGAAATGTTGAAACTACATAAAAAGCCACAATGAGATATTATTGTTAATTGGTGTTGAACATGCTACCTAGGGGCATGAGATAGAGGACCATACAGCTTGATTGCAAAAGAACATTTTTTAAAATTAAGAAACATTCAATAACATCATGACATACGTTGATTAAATTGGAACAATCATCAACAGTTTTGACACTGCCTTTTGACCTTCAGAAATCCAATACCCTTCAACAGTACATTGCTTTGAATGACTGCACATTTCTTTCAATGTTCCCCAACTTTCCTTGACCTAATTGCAATACTCTACTCTCTTTGTAAGATCATATGTTGTGCTAATCTTTCCACCAATACAAAAATATTCTGTTTTTTTTATATGTTTAATGGTGGGAATGGAGGGCCGGAATACAAATATATTCTGTTTACATCAGTTCAAATGGCTTGTGCACTGAGGACTGAAACAAGGTATCAAATCAAAGAATGCAATACAAATATTAAATGCACTAAGAGTTCAGAAGCAAGTATAAATAATAAATCAGGTAATAATTCATAACATCCACAGAATATTTATTGTGATCAGCTTTTTCTTTTCTTTTCTTTTCTTTTCACATTACGCAGCTGTGATCATTTCAAGCTAAAAGAATACATCTCACAAATGCATCTGAAACAGTGTTCACCAGTTACAAGCTGAAAAATATGATAGCAATCATCATGCAACACATTGATTTACAGGTCAAATGGATTGCAAACATTACAACAGTCAGAAGCTCGAAGGCTATAAGTGCAAAACATTAACTTAAAAATTGAAAATAAATTTCCTTTATTTTATAAAGTGTGACTTCAAACTTTACAGATACCCAAAAAGAAACAGTTCAAGGTCCATAACCTTTCACAGAGAGAGAGAGAGACAGAGAGAGAGAGAGATTACCTCATTATAGATCTCCAGATATGAGACGCGAAGCAGAAACTCACGATTTGGAGTCTGAATCAAAGGTCATCATTGTAAGAAGACAAGGTACGGCTGCAACTTAAGAAGATAAATATATATTGGGGAAAAGGATGTTACAAATTTTCAATACCTCTTGTATGATACTGAAAACATCTTTCACAGCCAATGGTATTATTCCAGGGGATCTCTGATCTCCCTGCCATTTATACACTGCACAATGTCAAGATATAGAAATATTCTGAAGGCCTATTAATAACAAATTCAGGGCCTATTTTTTGGTGTCTATGCATCAAGAATGATGCAAAAACCTTCAAAAAATTCAATGACAAGATAATTCATATTATATAGTAGCAAGATTTTTTTTGCAAAGAGATGAGGATGGCTGGAACAAAGGTGCAAAACTTATAGACAACTATATAAATTAAAGCCTGCATATGACCTATAAAAAATAAGTAAAATAAAAACTACATATGGAGGAACACAGGGCTCGAAAACCATTCCCAAGTGCCTAATAAGATATTATATGTGACAAATCTTTTCTCATTTTGTCAGAAGCTTGAAGTAAAGGGGCGGGACTAAGCCCATGAACATCTTTGCAACATCGCAAAAAGCACTAAAACACCCTGCCATATGTTTTTACATTTTCTTTGCCTTGCCATGGGAAAAGGAAGCATGGCGGAGCTTTGGCCACTTTTGGTTGAAGTCAAATGAAATTAGTGAGAACATCAGAAAAAATTAAGAAAAAAGTAACTCTAGTGAATAGAAAATCAAATATGTTTATGAATAATAAAATCATCCATAAATCCTAATGACATAGCGAATAACATTTATCAAACTGATTGTAAAATTGCTCATGAATCACTTTAACCTTATGGGATCACCAAACTCCAGCTGCATCATCAATTAAAATGGAAAACCCATTATTACAATTCATGGTTTCAGAATCTTCTCAATCTTTATCAAGCAATGGCGACATAAGTATCTTACATGGAGTAATCATCTCTTTCATCATGTGAATGATATGATGACCAGAAATTCTTACGGTTCATCATGAATTTTTTATTAATAGAAAGAGCTCAACAAGTCCAGTATTAGAGTATGAAGGCACACAAACATTCGATCAAGGAGACACACCAGCTTCACACTCCTTTGCTTTAAATATGATTTCTTAATTATCAATTTCTAAAGTTGGAAGGCAAGTCACCCAAGGTAGGTTCTCACTTAACACCACTTGTAAGTAACTAAAAAAGAGAAAGGAAGCAACGAATGGCAAGGCAACAGCTATCCTAGGCAAAGATAGCTGCGACTTGCTCTTTTTTATAAACCTGCTTTGTATATGGGAAGGGCAATATAGAACCACAATCAAATGCCTAAGCCTAAACAACCATACGCTGGTGGCAACACAGAAACTCAAGGGGTCCGAAAACAGCCAACCGCACCCATTGGTCTATTGGTCAAGAAAGTCAACAGTGGATGACTTTTCTCATCCATTGATCTCAAAACTCGAGAAAGAACCCTGTGTTTCTACCTAGCCAGCAGCTGTGTTAAGAAATCAGTATCAAGCTAGCTATTCATTGCCTGTTCGCCTTTAACTTGTGGGGGGAAATCCTTCATCTCTTCAAAGTACAATGGGTGCTACCGGCTACTGTCCCTAACATTATCTCTTCTGTACAGCCTTTCCCGTGGGCCAAGGCCGGTATATTCTTGCGGAAATCGGCGATGGCAGGCACTATTTGGACAATTTGGATTGAACGGAACAATCGCATTTTTCGGGGAGAGCACTCTCCTTGGTACAAAACATTTGCCAAACTTAAGTCCACGCTGATCTTCTGGGTGACCAACCATGAGTGCTTCAAAGGTCTTTCCACTACGGCCTTTGAACAGAATTGGGAGGCTGCCCTCTACCACCATAGTAAGCATCCATCCAAGGCTGTACTATGGAGACCTCCCTTGCAGGGCACTCTCAAGCTAAACTTCGACGGATGTTCTCTGGGCAACCCAGGGCCCTCGTGTGCTGGTGCGATACTCCGAGACCACTTGGGCACTCCTATAGCCTCCCTATCCAAGTTTATAGGCCATTGTGATTCAACTGAAGCAGAGGCCATCACTTTGCTGGAAGGACACAAACTTGCCTTTCCTTTCGGAATCGAATCTCTCATTATTGAGGGAGATTCCAAGAACATTATGACTTGGGCTTCAACCCCTTCTCCTCCACCATGGCAGTTGGCTCATCTTTTTGACGAGATTAACTACATTTGCAGGGATACGCTCGTCTTTTAGAAGCATACATGGAGCGAAGGCAACCAGGAAGCAGACACCCTAGCTAAGCGAGCGGCGACCTCGGCTGGTTCCTAGTCTACTTCTTTTTGTTTGGTCACTGACACTGGAAGGCTTATTGGTTGTCACCTTCATTTAGAAGGGTCTCTTTTTATCCCTCTTTTGGCTGTTCCTTGAGAAGGCTTTTTTGGCTTTTTTCTTTGGTTGTCTTTAAACTTTGGAGCATCCGAGGTGTGGATTGCCCATCTTTCTGATAAATTTAAGGTTAATATTATCAAAAAAAAAATCAATATCAAGCTAACCGTATTAGGTCCCACTCCAAAACCCTCCTGCCCTAAAAGGTGACTTTCTTGGCTGTCCTAACAAACTTTGTCTGAGGAAGTGAAAAATATAAAGAATGTTGAGCCCTCTGCTGTCCTGACAACCTTTATGTCTGGAGGAAATGAAAACTATGAAAGAATGTTGAACCTTCAACAAACAAGGAGAATTAACTGGCTTTTATCCAAATCATAATGAACAATGATTGAAATCATTATGAAGTGAAAATATGATCATATATTGTATTGTCTATGCTAAACTGCAAATGTCCAGATGGGATATAGTTCTCACGTGCATTGTATGAGTCTTTCCACTGCTTGTTACTCCATATGCAAACACTGTGCCTGCGACAGAAAAAAAATAGAAAAAGAATCAGTTGTCAACAAACTAGTCAAAAACAAAAGAGACAACCTCTAGAGCACGTTTGTTTAGCTTACACCAACTGTCGCACTGCCATGTTTGTTATGAAAGAGTCGAAGCTGCAATCGGAAGAGGTGGCTTCCAAGAGCCCCAAAAACAATGTCACTTGAAGTTGTTTTTGGGAGGCTGCAACTTCCATTACCATGGAAAGTGGTGGCATCCAAATTTTGTGGAAGAGGGGGCTTTGGCAGCCCCCTCGTCCACATAAATTTCAACGTAGAAGAAGAGGTGGTACTAAATTTGACAGGCTGTGGGAAGACTAGGCATATACCTTCTTTTAAAAAGTTCCAGGAGGTATTCTTTTTCATAAATAATATGTCTGGGCCGTGCTAATACATACATTGCAAAACCATGCATACAATACCACATCAATGTGGATGACATGAAACTGATTTAAATGAATGAACATATAAAACAAAGAAAGTAAATACTTTTTTTTTTTGGAGCAAAAGAATATGCATCCGTATTACAAATAAAGCATCATCCACTAAATTTTGATAACAACCATTAAACAGAGCCAATCAATTTCCCCCAAACCAAAAAAAAGTCAAGATTGCTAATATGATCAAACCTGTCACAAATTTAAGAAAATCTATGCAAGCTAATAGCCATATAACTGATAAATGCAGAGGAAGAAAACTAAAGATACTTACCATTGATTCCCTCCATGGCTCCACTGACTACATGTTGGGCAGCAACATCGTAGACATGTCGTGTCGTGGTTGTAGGTCCAAAGACACGATCTGGAACATGAAAGTAAATCAAGCAAACCAGTATAGATTCCTTTTACGAGAAGCCATACATAAGAAGGCACATGCAATAAATCAGCCAACTTAAAAAAGTCTAGAAAAGTCACAATACAGCATTGACAAGAAAAGAGATCTAAAGAAAATCGTATTTCAATAATCAGAAGTGCCTGAACCCTTCAATATTTTAACTGCGTAAAACGCATAGTTGTAACTGTATGTTATTAAGACTAGACCAACCAGTCTGCCTGGCTGAACCAGGAACGGGACCTGTAGCCAGTTCGATCTGATTAGTGAACAAGTAGACTGGTCAAAACCTGTTTGAACTGGCCACTCAAAACCACTTCAGTCAGCTTTCATGAGTTCTGACAGGAGTTTTATATTTTTTATTTTTTCTCATTTATGTTTCAAGATCAACTTGGTTGGTAAACTGGCCTGTCAGACCAGTTGGACTGAACCAGTGGCCTCACCGATTCAACACGTGGACTAGTGTTGATAACATTAATTTGTATTTTGTAGCATTTTATTGTACGTTGGGTATTTTTCTCTTGGATTTTCCCTATTTTTCGCAGCACATATGTTGTCTAAACTCTAAACAGAATATAATAACTCTTCTCATGCAATTGAGTGCCCATTCCTAGAGACATTCCTGGGCATTTCAGAACCACCCTAGAGTTGTGTTTTCCATTAAAGTCGCTATGTTAGATAAGCAAAGGGAACATCTTTCATGGATTTAAAATTAATTCTTGGAAAAGGGAAGTCTTGTCCTCCACGCTCCGAATTGCTAATACCTGCACAATCATTTGACCTCAAATTTTCTGAAGTACTAAAGAGGAATTTTATCACTCTAAAGGTCACACATATGAGCATCTAATCGAAAAGCAAACATCCAGCCAATGGCTGAAGCTGAGCCTAAACTTGATCATAGAACAATTCTCATTGAACTATAAAAATGACATTAACTACTTTTACCAATTATCATGAGAAAGTAATATTATTAATAACTACCAAACTTTCATATTTATTTTTTTAAACGAGTACAACTTTCCTATCTATCAAAAATCTGCAAGTTCCATCAGTTACCACAGTTATTTCAAATTAATTTGATCGTGTTGCCATTCATGGATGCCAAGGCTGCAACAAACTCAAATGGATAACATAATTGAGATGAAAACAATTAGTAGCAACATTCTGCAAAATTGCATAGTATATATGCAAATTCAAATGTTCGAATACGACAAAAGCGAAAAATACAATTGTTTGTCACTTTCATATGCTGAGACAGATTTGCCTCGAAAAAGTAACATTTAAATCAATGAACTAGAAGCATATAAGAAGAAAACAACAAAACTACCATAAGCATATGCAGTAGCCGGATTATGTTCATTCCTCAATATGGTGTCTCCATCAGCATACCAAGAAACTTCATCACCTTGACGTATCTCTCTTGGACTGCAAAATACATCAATTACATTGAATGTTTAAAAAGCTATAAAACCCTCATAGATAACATCAAATGCAAAATAAGCCAAGCATTGCCAAACTACAATCAACACATCAAAAACGGTTAGCTTAAGTGCTGCATTGCAAATAACAAATACGTTGGACACTCCTAAATTGCAAAATGCATTCCATACAAGACAATCAAGAGTGAAATTACCAAAAGTAAACAACTATTCAGCGCTATATCAACTTGCATTCTACAAATTTGAACACATCAAATGCTTCAAAGAAGCAAAATAAATAGCAGAGATCTATGCACACCTTAATGGGCGAAAACGAACAGTCACTGTAACATTTTCCTTTATTTTATCTACATCAGAATTCGCATTCTCTGAGTACAGATACTGAGTCTTGCTCTGAACTGAAGAGGACGTAGAAGACGAAGCAGAGCTGACAGGCTTTTGTACAACACCCGAAGGTCTCCTCGATTTGCTACCAGACTTGGACGCCATTTGAGCTAGAAAGTCACAGAGAGCAAGGGTTTCTCCACCAAACCACTCAAGAAATCACAGAATTTCAACAACTAGCAGTAGCTCCACCATTTCTCTCCATAAAGCCAAGCCATTGCAGCTAAAATGTTGCAGAGAACGCCATTTCCTGATCCTGATTACTCAAAAATCGAAAGCTTCATAAACTATCGCAATGGAGAAGATGATTCCTTAGAAATTAGGGTTTCTGACAAAATTACAGTCTCTCATATGGTTTTGCAAAAAAACGTGCGTTACGGTGAGAGAGAAGACCTGCATTTTGCCACGGTTCTAAGCTGCAGCCGTGCGCTTCACGGATTACCAGGGCGTCGACCAGGGCGTCTTTTTTCAGAGGCGTGGCCTTATATAGAAGGAAAATGACTGTAGTGCCCCGACATTTTTTAAGAAATTTTTTAAATAGCCCCAGACCTTTTCGGGAGGGATTCTCTTTTTCTCCCGAAACTTAGACAGTTATTTTTCTTGGGAGAATACATGTCCCTGTCTTCTCTATTGGGCAAGGTTTTTAATAAGTCTTTAGACTCATATGTAGAAATGTGTCCGCTCTTTATTATCTACTTTTGGGATGGATTTTGGAACCCTACTCTTCTAGGTGCTTTAAACTCCATATCATTACTACCTAAAATTAAATTATTTTTAAAAATTAAAATGATAATATCTTGAATAAATTTTTGTAGCCTTGGTGTCTTTATATTTTTAGGGACCACCACTTTGCATCCATTTTTAAGATATAAGGTTTGATGCTTTGTGGGATTCAACTGCTGGATTGTGTTCCCCAAGCACATAAAACACTTTTCCTTTATATAATACCACGTTTATCCCCAGGGACGCAGTTAGCATGCAATCAGCCCGAATATTGTAAAAATGTGAGCTTGGCAATAAATATATTATTTAAATATACTTTTATTTTAATTTTTAAAGGATACAATCTTTAACATATAAATTATGAATATGAAAAATAAATAAATTTTGAAAACTAAAAATAATAATTATATTACGAAAATATTTAGACATTAGTTACAATTGTTTTTAGATGGACCACCTATTTGCGATAGACGTTTTATACCTCTGGACCGTATATTATAGCAATACGGTCTAACCCATATGAAACAATTGTTCTATCCTTAGACATTTAAAGCAAAAATGAGAACGTACATTTATTAGCAATGTGTTGTGTATGTTTGTGTTGAGGATTGATGTCTTGTATTTTGATGAAATAGATGTCAAGGTAGAGTCAAAAGGATAACTCCGGAGGGCCGAAGGCCTGAAAGGCTCGAAGCCCGGAGGAGTGTTCGTCCCAGGTAGACTCGGCCCCTACACCCCCGAGGAAAAATTTAGATATTTCCGTACATGTGATTCTATATATCTGAGACTTTATATATATCCGTACAAGGGTATTTCGATAATTTGTACCATTTATCTGAGACTCGATATATATTGTTGCGATGAGGGTTTTACGGTCAAAGGAAAAACACATATTTCTTTGTAATCAGAGAGAATAGAGAGGCGTGAGGAAGAGCGTTATTGTAACCCTATTTTCCAGTGCCAGTAAAGAAGCTCTCATTTCTCATAGACGTAGGCACATTGCCGAACCACGTATATCTTTGCGTTGTGGTTGGTTGTCTCTTTCTTTATGTTTGTTTCTTCTTTCTTATTTTTATGGATTGCTTTTCGCTTCTGGAGTTTGCATTTCTTAACACTGCATAGTGGTCGCAACAATGCCACTTGGGATCAGGAATCGGTGGGACTAATATGGATCCTTGGCAGAACTGGTTCTTAATAAGACTCGAGACTAATTCATTTTATAGGTACTTGCTCCGTTCTAGAAAAAAAAAATAGGTGCAGCATCAATAGGCAATAAAGATGAGAGAGAGTAAACTTGGGGTGGGCTGGACATGTGTGGGTGCATAACGGTGGCAATGGATCGGGTCTGGCTGGACCCAAACCCAATAGTATTCGAGTCCAAGTTTTGGACCCAGAACAGACCCATCGGGTCCAAAAGTTGGACCCATATCGGTACCTATCAGGTTTCTGGTCTAGTCGGATCCATTGGCACTGCTTCTTTTCATATTTTTTTTGCCTTTTTTTTATCATTATATAACCATATTATTGGTAACAAAATCGCAATCACCTGTCATTAGATTTCAAGCTCTTTGATTTGTCGTTTAAGAGCTAAAAATGATTACAAGTTCTTATTGTATACGATCCTTAATACATCCAAACGAATAGGGCTTGAAGTATTTTATCTCCAAAAGTTTACAAGTATGCGTTGGGTTGAACTGGACCCCACCCACCGGGTCCAAATGCTGGACTCATACCTGGACCTGTGTTAGGTATACGCGGTGGATCCCATGTCGGGTTCAGGTCCATTGCCACCCACCCAGTACAACACCTGTTATGAGGTGTATGTTAGTTCAAATGGAATGCTAAAAAAAACAAAAAGGTATGCCCAAAAAGATATAGTTGAAAATAGTAAGAAAATATATGGAGACTTACAACATTACTGAGGATATGATCATTAATAGAGCAGAATGATATACAAAAATTCATGTAGCCGACTTCAATTAGTTGAAAAAATGTATTAACAATAATGATAGTGATGCTCAGTTCTAACAAAGAATTGAGTGTATCTACTAGGTAACTAGGTAATCTAAATCAACCAAATCACCCAGTTCCAACCCATTATATATCCGGTGTCGGTTTTAAATCATTCCCAACACTACCAAAGGTATGCATTTTGCAATCCTTAAATAAATTGTGTACATGGCTCTCTTCTTTTATTATGGTACAAAAAGCTATGGCATCTCCATTTTTTTCTTTTTAAGCCCCTATTATTCTAGATTCTTAACTTCAACAGTGAAGGAAAATGATATTCTAAGGATCTCAATTTGCTTACCCACAATTCAAGCAAAAAGATTATATGCTCCCATGGCCATGTACTCATTCATGTAAAAAGGTTTTTGAAGCGTAAGTAGGGGACTCCAAAATTTCAAGGACGCCATCTCTTATCCTAGTGACCAACCTAAAATTTTTTTACATGTATACAATAGATGTTGGAAAAAATAGCATCTTAAGATTGAATGCATATTGTCTAAATTTTAGATAGTCAAATCTAAGTGTTCAAAAACTATTTTTTTGGAAAATATTTCTAAAATAAATCCCAAAATTATAGATCAAGAAACCCTCAAGAGCAGGTCTTCTACCCAGGAGAGTAAGTATACAACATGAACTATTGAATGCAATATATTTAGTATATTTAATATTTAATTTGGAATTATTGCATTAAGAAATCTCAAAAACTCCTTTTTGTGAATTTTTCTTTCTTTTTTTTTTTTCTGAAAATGGAAGTCTCAATAACTCTATTAATGTGTTTAGCTATGCATTATTGTTTTCCTAAAGGAAAAAGAATAACCTCTTTCCAAGTAGGGTAGACTTTAAATGGTTAGGCATTGAAGGTCAGATGTATAGCTTACCCACCCAAAAACATAAAGTTGGGGTTTTGTTATAAAGCTTACTCAACAATACTGACCCCCATCACCACCCACCTCATACTCCAATATAAAAACTCCACAAGTTCTCTTCAGTTACCTTAATCGATACATAACAAAAGGTATTTCAAATTTTCCTTTTGTTTGAAGAGATGCCTTTAATGAATAGTACTCATAGATATTCTCAATCACTTTCATGGGGTATATTAAATGGTGTGGTGGGGTACCGCAACATATGCCCATGCTATCAATGACTTTTGGCTTAAAGAAATAAAGGAATTCAAACTTCAATGCTTAATTACAACACATTCTATTTTTTAATAATATTATTACCTACTATACCTAACCAATTCTATTCCATAGCTAAACACCTAGAATTCCAACATTTATTTCTTAAGCAGTTCTTTTAAAGCCCGAATGCCACCTATAATGTTGGAATTTTGGGCTAAACCCTGCCTCCGAATAGCCAAAGTCTCCCGATTTTCCATTATTTTCAATTTTTTATGTATTTATTTTGAACAAATTTATATAAGGTTGCAAACGTAAAATGTAGAATTAAGTGCACCTCAAAAATCCAACTTAGAAGGTTGTTTTGATGTTAAAAACCCTGTAATTGATCATCTCGACATCGAGATGTATGAATATGAAAAGAAAAAAAGATTTTGAGTCCTAAAAATATGGTATCTTGCAACAAATTTTTTTGACCATCCATTTTCAAGATTTTCAAGTGTTTATAGATATACTTGATTTGAATCATTCTTGGAGTTTAAGACTTTATATTTAGAGATGAAAATAGATTCTCAAGCCATCCTAAAAAAATTTTATATCGAAAATATATTTATGATAAAATTTGGAGGTGCGACTTATTTTGATTGTTTAAGATTGCCACCTTATACAAACCACACTCTTTATTTTATTTTTTATCAAATGTAGCCTAGACTGACTCTCACCTCACTTGAGTTAGGGGCAACCCAAGATTCGATCCTCCCATAGTTGAAAGCTTATTTTGATATTTGAAAATCTAATATTAAAGGCTTCAAGCATTCAAGGCATACCAATGAAATAGAATCCCTGATAACATTAACAGAAAAATAAGAAAAAATAAATTTATCAAAATAATTATAAGATATGAAGTATTAAACATTTTATCTATATTTTTACTTAATTTTAACATACCTATTGGAAGGATCATGACATGGAATAGTTTTAAAAGGGTAAAATTTTATAATTTATCTATTTTGCTAAATTTTTCCCCTAAAAATTAATAAAATAAAATAATTTCAGGACCCTTGAGCTTGATATTGCACAAAAAGAGCAAGGGTTTGATTGTCATGAAAGAGGAAAAAGAATGGTATTTACAAATGGTGCGGTTTGTATAAAGTCGAGTCTCTAAACAATCAAAATTAAACAATCAAAATAAAACGCACCTTCAAATAGTATCAATAAGTGTAGTTTCAATATTAAAAATATTTGTGATACTCTTAAAATATATTTCATCTCTAATTATAAAATTTAAAGCTTCAAAAATAGTGTAGATTATATCTATGAAAACTAGAAAATCTTGAAAATTGACGGTCAAAAAATGCATTACAAGATGCATTATTTTCAATAATTAAAATCCATTTTTCTCATGTCTATGCATATTGAGGTTGAGATGATCAATTTGATGATATTTGAGCATCAAAATAACATCTTCTAGTAAAAATTTTGAGTTGGGCTCTAATTTGATTGTTTAGAGCCTCGGCTCTATATAAACTTTTCCTTTACGAATTGACTTGTTAATAGATTTGGTCAGTTTTGTCATTTTTTATAAGAAA